TAGATGATCATGGTTTGAGGGCAGCCTTGGGAAAATTCGCAAGACTCCATGTCACTCAATCGTTGGGTGATGGCACATGTCTGTTGACTCAGCTATCGGAGAAGCACAATGTTTGGGCACAGTGGTTTGAACCTGTCATCCTCAGCAGCACAGGGAAGCATAAGTAAGAGGATTGTCATCCAGGCCAACCTGGGCATAAAGTGAGCCACAACCTTGAAAACAGCCAATGCAAAAAGGGGCTGGAGGCAGGGTTCAAGTCGTAGAGCTTCTGCTTTGCATCTACAAAGCCCCGAGTGTTGTCCCCAGTACCACCATAAATACAAAAATAAATAAAATGTTGAGATCATGGTCCAGAGAGTGCTTTGTTAGTGTAAAACACCAGATCTTTGCTTTGGAGAAGTGCTTGCTGTCATTTTATATCTATATGCATCATCAGCATGATGAAAAATGCAAATATTTAAACATTTATTTTTATTAAGTAGTTGTTCAAGGTGTGTTAATGCTAGCAGTCAGGTTATGAGTGCAATGTCTATTGATCAAAGTTACCCCTTTTGTTATTCTCCTCATCTTTCCCTAGCCTCAAGTTAAGTAGTTCAATTTTTACATAATATGTATTGAATGTAATGACTGCATTTGCTCACCTTTTCCCCCTGTTTTTGTGTGTCCCCTCCTTGCCCCCTTCAAACATGTTTCTGCTACCAGGTATTCATTTTGTTAAATGGTTTGGTAGTTGTTTAGAGGAATTGTACCATTTTACCATTGAACTCTTCCTTTAGTCAATTTGTTTGTGTATATATGCATATAATCTTGTGTATGTTACCATGTATGTCTGTGTTGCAGATCTAACTTCCACATATGAGAGGACATATGTGCCATTTGTTTCTCTAAGCCTGATTAAGTTCACTTAGCATACATTTTTTTCCTTGGCCTGTCTGTTTCCCTGCAAATAACATAATATTATTTTTTCGATAAATGAATGAAATTCAATTATATATATACACACACACATATATACATATACATATACACATATACATATATATGTATACTTGTACATATATACATATGTGTGTATATCTATATAGCCATTTATATATCACATTTTCTTGATCCACTCATCCATTATAGGCATCTGGGCTCTTTCTATAACTTGACTATTGTGAATAGTGCAACAATGCATATGCAAGATTTTTTTGGCTATATCCTGACTTGTAATCCTTTGGGTAGATTCCAAAGAATGGTATTACTGGGATCATAGGATAGTTCCAGTTTTTTGAGGAACATCCAGCCTCCTTTCAGAATGGTTGTACTAGTTTACATTTCTATCAACAAAATAGTAGGATTTCTTTTTTCTGCTTCTCTGCCAGTATTCATTGTTGTTCATATTCTTTTCTTTTTTTTTTTTGTCGGTCATGTAGCTTGAACTCTGGGTCTGGGCGCTGTCCCTCAGCTCTTCAGCTCAAGGCTAGCACTCTACCACTTGAGCTACAGCACCACTTCTGGGTTTCTGGTGGTTTATGGGAGATGAGTTTCACGGAGTTTCCTGCCCGGGCTGGCTTTGAGCTGCCATCCTCAGATCTCAGCCTCCTGAGTAGTTAGGATTACTGGCGTGAGCCACCAGCGCCCAGCTTGTTGTTCATATTCTTGATGATGGCATCTCTTACTGGGATGAGATGGAATGGAAAATGCAATTTCTTTATTAGAGAAATCAGCTTGTTTGAACCAGTATTTTGTGAGTCACTGGACAAAAAGAGTTACAGATGAAAAATTATCCAAAAGATGGACAGGATTGTTGTGAGGACTCAGCAGCTACAAGCCAGCCACTCACAGCTCTAGGAATAGCTAGCAGCTTAGGAGACTCTGGACTAGAAGCAAAATCTCATTTGACTGATTTCTTTCTCCAAGAATGTTCCCAGTTGTAATAAGAGAGTAAATGTTATACTGCTTCCTCTACTCTTCAGTCTTTGGGAGTAGAAATTCTCTCTCTCTCTCTCTCTCTCTCTCTCTGTCTCTGTCTCTCTGTCTCTGTCTCTCTGTCTCTGTCTCTCTGTTTCTGTATCTCTCTCTCTCTGTCTCTCTGTCTATCTGTCTGTCTCTCTCTCTCTCTCTCACGCGCGCGCCTGGGCATTGTCCTTTAGATTTTTTATGCTCACATATGGCACTCTCCCACTTGACCACATCTTCACTTTCAGCTTTTCTTGGTGTTTAACTGTACATAAGAATCTTATACACTTTCCTACCCACACTGTCTTTGAACTGAAATCCTTACATCTCAGCCTACTGAGTAGCTAGGATTACAGGCATAAGCCACTAGTGCCTGGCTAAGTATGCCTTTTTTTTCTTTGTGGAATAATGAAACTCTTGAATTCTTCATGACTTAACAATTAGAGTACATGAATGTATACTTAATGCTTTGAACTTGATGTACTTAAGGGCACTTAAAACTGGTTAAAATGGTAAGTTTTATGTCAAGTATATCTTACCACATTTAAAAAATGATTTTAAAAATAGAGTGTGGAGACAGCCTAGAGATTTAGGGAGTAAATGGAAGTAATTAATTATTAAGGCAGTGAAGTTTTACTGAAGTGCTCTAAAACACATAGAGAATTTGTCCTTGTTATTGTCTCTTGAAACAGTTTCCTGTGTCCATACCCTGCCAGACTGAATAGCCACCAGTCAGTTTGGAGAAAGTTTCTAGCTAGTAACTTCTAGAGATCCATACACTAGCATAACAGACATGCAGCTTAGGGTGAACACAGAATTACAGTTATAGATTGGTAACAATGGAAGGGATCACTCAGGGTCATTTAGCTCCAAGGTCCTGCTCAAGTTTTCCCCTTGTTAGTGAGATTTCAGTATTCTGTATATTGAACCTGAACTGATAACCAATTCCCTGTATTTTCCAAGACCACCTGATTCTCTGAAATTTCCAACCATTGCTATTATTTCCATTTTTTTGTAAATAGAAATATGTTCCCATTGTAGTGTCTATTTTCTTTTAAAGAAACAGATGCCAGCATGGTGTTAGTGTTAAGATTACTTTACCTCATTTATTGAAAATTGAAATTTCTACTAAAACTTATTGGGGGCCAAAAAGATGCTGAAGTGAAAAGTTCTACCTTTGATCTTAAGAGATAGTTGGCACTCAAAATGCTCAAGCACTAAAAAATCCTGTGCAAACTTACTTTCAGGCTTTGCATGTAAGGTACACACAAAACAAAAATGAGTTTCATGTTTAGACTTGGGTTCCCTCCCCAAGTTATCTCATTCTATGCATATAAATATTCCAAAATCCAAACACATCTGAAATCCAAAATGTATCTGTTTCTTAGTATGACTGAACCTATTCTTAGGAAGAATACCCTGAAGAAAATGAAAGTGTCTTCAGGTCAGGTATTGGAATGATGTAAATTCTAGACTAATGTCAAGCCAGCAGGAGAACAATTAGTTGTTCATGTGTGATCTAAAACTCTCAGCCCTTTTCCCCCCTAAACAAAATCTTAACCTTTCTGTGAGGCCTGAAATAGCACCTTTGTAGAGCCTTGGCCAGATTGAGAATGAAAAAGAAACTGGGTGTAATGATTCCCCCTGTAATTCCAGCTATTTGGAAGGCCAAGGCAGCGGGATAATGAGTATGAAACCAGGCCAGGGAAAGTTAGCAAGACCCGATCTCAAAAACAAATTTTTTTAAGTTTAATTTTTTGGTCAAGGTGATGTATAGAGGTAGTGATTACATTTCTTGTTTAACTTGTTACCCCTTCCCTCCTTTTTCTCCCTCTTCTCCCACCCCTGCCCATCTCCCCGGATTGTACAGATCATTTCTAACATATCGTCTTGTGAGTATGGAAGTTGCATTGGTTCCCCCTTTGTCCTTTGTCTCACCATTTTGTTGTTCCCTTCCATTTCCTACAATACCAGGGTACCAAAATCAAATACAGTGACAAAAGGGGATACACCATAGGGGGGAAAATACAAAAGAAAAAAGAAATAATGTGATACATTGAGAACAAAAACAACAAAGAAAAACCCCTTGTGTCCATGTCTTGGAGTTCATTTCACTTAACATCATCAAGATCATATGAACATAGCTATTGAGCTATTCTGCTCATCTGCTAACATTACCCTTGATGCATACTAATTATTATAAATAAGGGAGATCATGGGACTTTTGTTTCTTCAGAGGATTAGGAGGATGGTTCGTATAGTACTTGTGGTCCTGGTAGTTCAGTTCAGTTCCTAGTAACACATGCAGGAGAAAGGAAGATAAAGAAGAAAGGGAGAGAGAGACAGACAGAAAGGAGGAGGAGGGGGAGGAAGAGGAGGAGAACCAGGGAGGAGGAGGAGTTGGAGGAGGAGGAGGAGGAGGAGGAGGAGGAAATAATGAGAGTTTAGAGGAAGCCGTCCAAATACCCACTTGAATCATTCTGACTGTGTTAATGAGTTAAAAGGACAGAAAGGCCCTTCATTTTGGATAGAGTTGCTTTCAAGACTAATTTTGCTTATTCTCATTGCCAAAAAGATTCATGTTTACTATATAAAATGGTGGGCAAAAATGCCAAAGATATTTTAAAATAACCATTTGCTATATATTCTTTTCACATTTTTGCATATATTACTCATTATAGCCATAAAATAACCACGATTAGTGGTAATTGACATGCCTAAGTGGAAAATATTTAGTAATTTTGTGGAGGTGATCTACCATGACAACATGGTTGGGCATGGAGAAGTCCTTTATAGAACGCACAGCTATAGATGGTTCTTCAATGTTCTTGGGTTCAAGGCTCACGAGTGCATTGCTTACCCTCTACCACACCTCTGGTATTCGCAGTTTTTCCAAGAAATGCTAAAAGGAAATTAAATGGATAATGGTAAGTGAAAATGGGCAAAGAAAATTTCAAATAGAAATTCGGTTTCCATTTGAAAGAGAAATACAGCTGTGTCTGTAGCCTTGGCTGCCTTTCTCGGACTTCTCATTCTGCTGCTTTCCTTTCTCTTAGATGGAGAGACAAATGTCTGTGAACTCCAGCATCATGGGGCTGCAAGGTCCCAACCTCAGCAATCCCTGTGCTTCTCCGCAAGTCCAGCCAATGCACTCCGAAGCCAAAATGGTAAATAACAGTGGTGATCATTCTTTCGTTATTTCATGAGTTTTTCTTTTGGTTTCTATTCTGACTCCAAATGTCAGTGAAGCCAGGGAGAATATTCTTGTCATCTTTGTCTTGGTGCTTAATACCTTGCTCCCATCCCCCCACAGCCCCTGGAAAAGCAATTCTGAGATTGGCTCTCTTTAACAAAAACCGTTCCAGACGCTTGGCATCAGATACTCATGCCCCAGGCACTGGATTGACATGTAGTGTGGATGCAGGTGATGTTTGGCAGTCAAGGGAGATACATAGGATTTGGGTGAGATAGGCCCAAATGTATATATGTTTGTTCATTATGTGACGTAACAAAAATATTCCCCGGGACTTTTTTCTTCAAGGCAATTATAGTTTCAGGGCCATTCTTCCTGTCCCTGTGTTATTAAAACAGATCTTTAATTAGCAAACCACACATTCTTAAGGAAATACTATGCCTTTGTTTTTTGTTATACTTTGTCAAATGTGATATGATTTGAAAGGATCAAAGCATTCTTATTTTCCTTGCAATTGCAACTGAAAGATGTAACTTCAGGTGACCAACCTTTAGTACCATTTAACAGATACTGTGTGTAATGAGGTCAGTCTTCTCAATCCTACTGATAGATTAATGTGTATGTATGTATGTATCTAAATATACATTCATAGTATATAACAATATATATTATATATAATATTTATAATTTATTTTAAATATATATAATCTGCATGTTAATAAAGACGATCTATGTCTGTCTTTGCAAGATAAAAGGATATTGCTGATACTGTTTAACAGAGTTACTTGAAGTAGAGTTGAGTCAGATTAAAATTTGGACACCACAATTTGTAGAATATTAGATGACTGCAGATTATCATATAGCAAATCATTTTAGTCTCTGGTACTATGTAAGAACGGTATTGGCTGAGGTTGGAGATGCATCTAATTCACTGACTGGCAGCATTAGGGATGGTCTGTGGGTGAAGGATGGGTGAAAGATGTCATTTACCTCTCTATGGTCTCAAAGTCAGCTGCTTAATTGCGACACAGGGATGGAGTCAGCCTGTTTAACTTCCTTTTCAATGTCCACGAGGCTTTTGTCCCTTTCTTTTTGAAAACTTCCCTCCATTGACAGGCGGCTTCTTGACCCAAGGGATCTACTGAACTCCCCGTGTTGGCTAGCCTGGGGAAATGAAATCTGTGGTCATGAGAGCTCTCTTTGCTGTACCACAACCCCAGTGACATGCCAGATGGCACCAACATCTGCAGCAAAGCTCGTTAAATCTTTTTGGAATCGGCAAATATTTTTTCAACTCAAGCTCCACAGAGCCAAACCAAATACTTGCTGGCAGAATAAAGTTCAAACTGGCATCTGTTTTGGAGACTAAGTAATGCCATTTACCTTTTTTTAATATATGAATTTTAAAAAATGATCTGTGAAGGTACTTAAGAAAAAACAAAGTTCTTCACACATAGGAATAAGTTGGCTGGGGCTGAGACTGAGGCCTAAAACCCTAGCTGGATCATTCTTGAATTTTCTTATTTGCTTCGGGTCTGTATTCCTTTCTAAGGCTATTCCAGATGACTTTAGATGGAGTCTAAAACACAATTCCAAGCTGCATTTGTCTGCCAACTGATTTTTCCTAGATTTTTATGCTTCCACTCAGAAATGTCCTGTCTCTATTCTTGCAAGCAAAGAAGGAAAGGTAGTATAGGTTTGTAATTATTTATGTGCATGAAATAAATCATATGATATGACAAATGTGTAGTGAATAATGCCAGCTTGAAACAAAAGGGAACTGGTCTACACTTAACAAAAATAGTGTCACCCGTCAGATGCGTGCTGTGTTAAATCCACTGAGCAAGCACCATGCTCTGCTGATTCATGTTCTGAGTGAATAAATATTTCCAGGCCCCTGGTGTCTAGGCTAATTAACTCCATCACAGAGCTGGGGTTCAGGGAATACAGCTACACTCTCTGCCCCAGCTCCCACTTCTACTGCCCCTGTTATTACCAATACATTAACCCATAGGGGGAAATAGTAGTACTGGCCACTTACATTTGGAAGGATAGCATTTACTTAGTAGCTTTGAAAAAATGTTAAGTAAGTGAATTTTAATATGTCACTCAACATATCCTTTCTTACTCTGCTTGCTTTTTTCGCCAGAGAAACAGTTATTGCCATCTATTAACCATGCAGTATTTTCTAGCAGCTTTTAGGCTGCTCAGATGAAAAGCTTTTATGAAATACAAAGTCGTGAAAGAAAAAAAATTCTTCCATGATTTTAATGTCAGCCAGAGCCTTCCCAGGTTTCTCTGAACTATGGGCTTTGTTGTTCTATGCCTAATTTTCTTCCTGTGTAAGATTGGAATGGATTCCAGATTTCAACTGAGACTCTTATTTCACTGTTTTCAAGGACTTTTCCTAAGGTCACACATGGGCTATTGTGATGAATGCACTCAGCAGGGTGTGTTCTCAAGCATACAAGTAACCAGAGAGCTGGAGGGGGGAGGGAGGCAGGGAGCACTGTGTTGCCCACACCAAACCCTGCAGCCTAACTCTCTTGGGGACTCTGTGTCAGTGTTCATTTCAAACTCCCTCTTGGCTCTTGACAAAAGCCATCATTCGGAATCTCTGGTGAAACTTGGAGTTATTGGAGGGAGACAGAAGCTTAACACAGGATTGCTTTCAATGTACAATTTCCTTCAAGGCACTCTGATCATGGATTTCCCATTAGAATGCTTCTGCTTTCTTGGTCGCAAATCCATCATTTCTTCTTTGGGACAGAGCAGAAATGGGTATTCATAGCAAGTTCTCAAATGTATTGATCTGAGATATGCTAAATGAAGAAAAAATAGGAGCTAATCTTTTAATTAAATATATTTAATTCATTTCAAGGTGTAGTCCCAACTATTTTTTAATCATAATTCTGACTAATTGTGATTCCTTATAGATTCTAGAATTAAGCCCATGGACACTTGGATTTACAATGGTACAAGTGCATACTCGCACATTGGGTTTTATTTGGGGGTTAGAGCAGACTCCAATCTCTGAGAGGCTTCAATCTTTCTCACCACCTAAACTACAAGAATCTTTCAGCTTCCTAGGGACTGGGTATCCTAGGAAGAAATGGGGTTTCCTAGAAGAAGAAATAAAAACTTCACTGCTACCTGGTGGACATTTTTAGCATTCAAATGTAAAAGTGAAGGAAGGAGAAGGATGGGTCAACAGAAATGGGAAGAGGGACAAAGAGAGGATGGGAGACTGGCAGACCACTCTGGGACATGTTCTTTGGTATAGAATAGCTCTGGCCAGGTGCAAAGAAGCCCATTCATACCTGTAATACTAGTTACTCAGGAAGCTGAGACCTGAGGATCACGGTGTGCAGCCAGCTCAGGCAGACAAATACAAAAGACTCTTTTATCTCCAATTAACCTGCAAAAAGCTAGAAATGGAGGTATGACCCAAGTAATAGAGTACCAGCCTTGAGCAAAAACACCAAACAGTAGTGCAAGGTCTTGAGATTAACCCTCAATATCAGCTAGGAAGGTAGCTCAGTGGTAGAGTGCTTGCTTTGCATGCCTGAGGCCCTGGGTTTGATTCCTCAGCACCACATAAGCAAAAAGAATAAAGCCGGAAGTGGCGCTGTGGCTCAAATGGTAGAGCGCTAGCCTTGAGCTGAAGAGCTGAGGGACAGCGCCCAGGCCCAGAGTTCAGGCCCCACGACCGGACCCAAAAAAAAAAAACAAAAAACAAAACTAAAACCTCCAAATGGCTTTAGAGTAATGTGAGAACCATGTTATCAAAGTTACATAGAGCTGTTCATTTCTTATAGTGAGAATTAGACCAGTTGCTGCCTAGTTTTGAAAGAGGTGCTTGTTTTAAAGAAGTCAGTAGTAAGTCTGGAAGCTGAATAAACAGTAGAGGTGGATGGATTTGTCCATAGACCTGTTGTGTCTCTGATTGTTGAGACATATTGTCCCTACTACAATAAAAACTGATTTAGATGAAGGATGACTATTCTCATGGGGGTTCTGACTTTTCTGTAAGATTTTCCCTTCAGTTTGGACAGGGTTAGTAAGGATGAGAGAGAACCATTACTGGGAAGAAGGCATGTGGTACTTGATGTAACTGTCCTCAAACAGCACCATGGCAAAAGCTTTGTCCTCGCTATACATCGGAGAGTCTGAGAGGCTTAAACTCTTCACATAATGGCACATCACTTAGAAAAGGCAATCAGCACAAGGCCCAGGAACAAAGAGTTTTGGTTACATTATCTGTACCTATTAGGCTAAGTGAAGTTCTTCTAGCTTATCTATAAATTGGGAACAGGGACAGAAAGAATATTTTACGCTTTTTGCAGATACTCTGGAAAAGATGTGGAGACATGAAACTTTACACTTGGTATACCCAGAACTCTGTAGCCTCACTAACTGGCTCAGCTCTGCCACTTCCGCACCCAACATACTATGTTCCTATTTCTGCCTCATCTAACATACTGTGCCTCCATTTTTCTTGGCCTACATGTGCATCCCTTTACTTGATTAGTTGGAAGGTTCTTGAAAAGAATCTTTGTGTCATGTAGGCTCCTTGAACTATGAAAAGCCCCGAGTGGAACTGAAATTAAGCTGAATTAGAGTTGAGTTAAAATAATGTAGTAAGTAATGATGTAACAAATCAAATCCTAGTAAGGATGAGGGCTGGGATAGAGTGGGTTGGACAAGGGTAGGGCTAAGAATCAAAGTAAAAACCAGATAAATTCTAAGCTAAATAATCCACCCATAATAAGTAGTTGACTCAGTTTAATTTCTTTGAATGGTATCTGCAAATGATGTTCATCACATTTTTTTTTTTCCTGAGAGGAGAGCAATAGTGGATTCCTTGAGAAATAGAAGTTTACAACTTTGGTGGGGGTGGGGGTGGGAGGAGGATGGGAAGGGATGGGAAGGGGAAACAATGGAGGAGGCTACAATGCTTGATAAGAAATGTAC